CCCCTAGTGAGTTTATAGACGGTCACAAGGTCCCCCCTCAGCCTTCTCTTGTGAAGGCTGAACAGGTTCAGGTCCCGTAGCCTCTCATTGTAGGGTCTGCCCTGCTGTCCCCGGATCATGCGGGTGGCCCTCCTCTGGACCCTCTCAATGTTGTCCACATCGCTCTTGAAGTGGGGTGCCCAGAACTGGATACAGTACTCCAGCTGTGGCCTGACTCCAAGATCCCTTTCTGCCTCCGTGTTCTCAAGAAGGGAGTTTCCCATCTTATAAGTGTGCTGCCGGTTACTACTGCCCACTTGTCCATATTGAAACGCATCCTGTTTTTGTTGGCCCACCCTTGCAACCTATCCAGGTCTTGCTGCAGTCTTTCCCCCCCTGCTAGCGTGCCCACCTCACCCCAAATTTTGGTATCATCAGCAAATTTGAACAGGTTGCTTTTCACCCCGTCGTCCAAATCGCTGATAAAGAAATTGAACAGTGTGGGCCCAAGGACCGAGCCCTGGGGGACTCCGATGCCCACTTCCCCCCAGGTTGAATATGACCCATCCACCACCACCCTCTGAGTATGACCCTTCAGCCAATTCGCAATCCATCTGACCGTGTAGGCATCGATGCCAGAGTCGCCTAGTTTTTTAATGAGGATGGGGTGGGAGGCAGTGTCAAAGGCCTTGCTGAAGTCCAGAAAGACTACATCCATGGCGACACCTGCATCCAATGCTTTTGTGACCTGATCGTAAAAGGCAATCAGGTTGGTCTGACATGACCTGCTCCTAATGAGTTATATCAGAACCAGGTATTCAAAAACTAAGATTCCTCCATAGAAGGATAAATCAACTGATTGTAATTATGGTATGTTATGAGACAGCAAGCCCCAGACTAACAAGCTTATTTTAAAATAACAGTGATGGTCACTAATCTAAAGCAAGTCACCTCTAGACATTCAGGTAAAGCTGTGATAGGATCTGATGTGCGATCTATGCAATTATGCTATGCCACATGTGTGTGGCAGGAGGTGTGATCGTGGGATCCCACATCAGATCCTATCATGCTTTATTGCCAGTGCAGGGAGAGCCTGGCATTGTGATCCTGGACTCCCCCTGCATAAGCAAGCTGCGAGGCTCACAGATGGGGCAATGTGTGGGGCACCCCTGTGGCAAAGAAGTGGCCACATATTCAATTAATGCCATGATAAGAACAAACCACAAAGTTATTCCACATCTTTTGTGAAATAACTCTATGGCTTATTCCTTGTTTTATTACGCCCTTAACTGATTGAATGCGTGGCTGGGTCACAACTGGTTAATCATGTCTTAAATTTAACGTGTAGATGGGGCCCTAACTTAAGAGACTGAACCATGACAGTGATTTGCTTGGATACAGAGGGCCACATTTGGAACTTGCCAGGACACAGGCCCACAACCCCTAAAACTGCATGCAAATCCTACCCCAATTTCATTACTAAAAAATTACATCCCGTTACACCATCCTGTTTACAATGATAGTTTGCATTCAGAGAGAACTAACAATAAAACCAACCATCAATATTCAGACTCTTGTCTTGACCAATCATTCATGTCTATAAATGCATAGTCTGAGGCAATGACTAAGGACAGAACATGTTGATTCTCCAAACCTTGACCTCATTATTCAAACTTTAGACTGAAATGGACTTTAGTTTTGTGAAATGTCCCAAGAAGTTTTCATTAGTAGGAGTCAGTGAGCACTCTCCTATTAAATAAATTCTTAGATAAATCTGTAGGCCTGTACAGGAATCTTCGTACTGTTCCCCCTGGGCAGAACTTCATCTTCAGCTACAAGGGATTCATAATAAAGTACATTCTCACAAACACACATTTCATCGAGAGGCTCTTACAGTGTATGTATGTACAGTTCTATGTATGTAGTTACATCTTGCCCCCACAGAAAGCTATTTTGGTTAGTAGTTATATAAAATGTATGGGAACATAAAACACAGAAACATCTTGGTTTCAAATTCAGAACTTTACATTTTATGACATTAGTCAAGCTATTTAATTTCCTATTGCCTTGGTCAAATCAGTTGCAAAATTAAGTAAATAAGCAAGATGGAAAAACAGACATTGTGCCCGAGTTGAATTCAAGTAAATATACACTATAAATCAAATTAGGATAAAATATTCTATTAGACAAACTTACGGTATTAGTCATCTTGGTGTACTGTCAAGATGACATATTCTTAGAAGTGCCACACTGTCAGCTATTCAAGGGCTCAGGCATTACAGAGCTGCTTCACTGAATTCAGCCTCTCAAGTGAAGCTCTAGGTGGTGAAGTAGGCTGCACATGTCAGACTGGCAAAGCATCACAGAGTCATTCCACAGAGGTGGACAGATCATTGTGAACAATAATTCTGTGCCTGCCTAACCAGGTTTAAAAAATGGTCTTTGATAAAGAAGCCTCGACTTCAGAATAATGACATGGTTAATCAATAAAGCTGATCCTCTGGAATATTAATGATCAACTTCCAATCAGATGTGAAGGCTTTCAGAATATCATAAGATCAGGCCCAAAGACCAATTGTTTTCAACAGAAATAAGAAATGGGGGAAAAAGACTGATCTGTATCAGCTGTTTAAATGTAGTGTGGTATACATAGCATTATTATTTTTATCTATATTATTTAAATTTATTACAGTATTTCACATACATGGAAATACAAATCATGTGTGTGCATATTACATATACTACATAGACACACGCACTGCCATATATACTATAATTATACGATATTATACTACACACACACAAAGGGGCAACTAATTAGCTTGTTAAACAGTTCTTAAATCAGTGCTCTGAAGGACTGAACTGCTGCAGAATTCAGAGCAAGATTTGTGTCCAGTAACTTAATAAAAGCATATAAGACTCTCTCAGGGCCACTAAGCAGTATACAGCGGGAGAAAGCAGAGGGAAACATGCTGAAGGTTAAGCTGATAACAGACTTCTTTTAAATAGAAAAGAACCTAAACTTTCACAAAAGAAAAAAGCACTAGGCAGATTGGCCAGAGTTATTTATTTCTTTGTTTTTACGCAAAAATATTTTCAAAGGAGCAAGATAAGTGGGTGTCTGACTCTATACTCTTTGGTGATATTCTCTTGAGGGATTTAAAAAGGAAATCCTTTTAAAGAGGTCACTAATGATTGCAGCGTTTAATTATAAATGGCAAATGACATCGACAATACATTTTCCCATTGCTGATTTGCTACTTACCAGCAATTATACCATTAGTTTCCAGCACCGAATGGAAGTGGCAATTTTTTAGTGTACTAATGTCCTGCACCTCTATGGTTACCACACAACTGAATGAGTCTTATGGTGATTTCTCTCTTTCATTTATACTTACATGTAGGGGTTTTTGTGTTCTGTTTTGTTTTTAGTGTACAATTAGATAGTGAAAAGGATCAGAATACACATACATACAAGCACACACAAATCCTTTTTACTATGGGCACATCTACACATTGCTGTGCTTTAATACTTCCTTTTGGAAGTACTAAAGCATGGTGCAGTATGGGCGGTTACTGAGCCATGTGCGCAGTGCACAGTTAGATTTTGCCACTATGTTGCCATAGTGGCACACTATACAGGGGGAGTGAGCTGCTAAGGCAATGTAGCTGCCGATCACATGTAGACCCACGTGATTGGTATGTGATTGGTATGTTGTCGTAGCGCGCCATGCGGCAATGTAGCGCATTGCTATATCGCGACAGAGTGACGTGTAGACACACTCTATGTAATTGTATATCACAAAAGAAAACACAAAAACCCCAAGCAGTGAGTTATAAATAAAGGAGAGAAATCATGCCAGAAGACTTGTTCAGCTGTGGGGAATATATACATTATCTCAACAGAAAAAAAATCTCACACACAGTATTGGTTAAATCATGTACATGATACTCAGACAATCAAAATGTATACCCATCATTCTCTGGGAGTACACCTAAGGGGTGCGTCTGCACGAGATACCACATCGCTGTAGCAATGCGCTACAGCGACGTAGCAGCGGTGGGCACAAACTGTGACACTGCAGCTACGTTGCTGTAGTGACGCACTCCCTTTTCATAGCATGCCGTGATGGCGATGTAGCGCTGTAGAGGCGCATGTAGACATGCCCAAGGTACGTAGTGCACAGTCTATACTAATATGAGAAAATATGATTTAAATAG